AGGATGGAAGCTGAAATAGGAAAACACAAAAGGGTCCATATAGGGCTTTACAGCTACCCTATTACCACATCAGAAAAAGAGGACACCTGTTGTGTGTGGGGAGGTGGGGGAGGACAGTGACATGCCAGTGCCCTGCCCATTCAGTCGCCCCTCCCTGCCAAGCCATAGCCTCCCTCCCCCTGCCCCTGCCCTGCTGCTGCCTCTCACTCCTGACCCACTGACTCCATCCTGCTCCTGCTCCTGACTCCCAAACTGCAGTACCATGCCCACCCTGGGCCATTATGATGCCCGTCACTTCTGATCCGATGCCCCCTGACACTGCCAGTGCCCCTCACTCCCAACCCAGAGTTGCTCGCTCCTCCTGATGCCCCTCACTCCTGATCAGCAGCCCCCTGCCCCCTCAGCCCTGCTGGAGGGGCCCCAGCTGTCCCTGTCCTGACCAGGTCAGAGCACAGTGGCTCCAATTCATGCAGGCAGCAATGCAGTGTGTCTGTCCCCAGCACAGGCTGGAGGGAAGAGGATGGGGAGCTTGTGGCACCCCCTGCACTGGGATGGGGCTGCCGCACCACACCAGGCAGCCTGGCCACAGTCTCCCTCCCTGCTTCTTCCCTCATCCCCCGGCAGTGTCTCCTGGCCGCTACACCCCTGCGAGCAAAGTAAAATCTTGGACATTTGGTCAGCTTTGAAAAACCCACCTGGACGGAGATCAGAGGGTTCAAAAAGAGGATATGTCCAGGAAAACCCAGATGTATGGTAACCCTAGCTAATTTAAACACTTATTCATTGCCACTACTATATACATAAATAGAGAGAGAGAGAGAGTACAAAGCCCAGAGTGAGATGTCAGATCTTTTACAAAGTATGACTAAGGTACAGCACTAAAAAAGAACAAAACAGCACACCATGGAAAAAAGGTTATTTCACGAATAAATTAAATGGAGTCATTGCTCTTCACACTTTGGATGCCTTGTCGGCATCTTTATTCTAAGCTTGTCTGTTGCCCATCTACAGCTGAGAAGATTCCACAAAGGAAGGAAAGCAAATAGTCAACACATTTACTGTATCTATTTAGATTGAACAGCTGTCATCCTGGGCCTAAAGTGTTCAACAAGGGTGAAAAAGACAAGAGGGTAAAACTTAACTCTTGTCTTTCACTGATTGTCTTTGACTGCTTTGGACTACCTTGCTACAAGAAAAGAACAGAGTTTTTTTTATCGTAAGGCGAGTCTTTAACCAGCTCCTAAGGATCCCCCCAGTAGGAAAACCTCACAAGGTGTATGGGTGGTATACAGTGATATTTTAATAATTACATTACCTTTGTGCAGCACCCCCAAGGGTTTGGAGGTGTACACCTTATGAGCAACATTATTTATATTTAATTTTCTAATTTGATTATTTTTAGAACATCACAAGTATTCTCCCTAAGGCCTTAACCCATTTAAATAAATTGAAAAATTCCAATTGAATTTACCAGGAGCAGTATCAAACAGTGAATGAACACAATCGCACACATAGGGAAATATTACCTCTGAAAAGCCACTGTGAATCAATTATAAGCCATGTAAATTAGGTCCATAAAGGAACTTGGGTGATATTACCTCTGAAAAACCACCGTGAATCAATTATAAGCCATGTAAGTTAGGTCCATAAAGGCACTCAGGTGTCATAACACTGTAAGCTGTAGCACCTAGGGGTACATGCAGATGTTTGCCACACTCGATCTACTTTAAATCAGTGATTGTAGATCAGGAGAAGTTGTACACACATTTTCTGGTGCCAGAAGCCATGCCAGGAACCCAATTTAAGTAACTCTGGGTGAGGAGAGGGGCAGACAGGATCAGGTTTTGATAGGTACAGGGTGGGAGGGGGGTGTTGGCAGGATCCAGGGGCCTGGTGTGTCTGCAGAAGGGGTTGCCAGGTCCACGGGGATTGACTGTGCAGGGGTGGGGATGTTCAGGGAGCTAAAAATAGTCTGGTCAGGGTTAGAGAGGGGTGTAGGAAGAGCAGAGCTCTGGAGCTGGGGCAAGTGGCTGGGCTTTTCCAGTCCCAGGGTTGTGCTCCAAGCATATGCAGGCATTCAGTAGACTGGGCTAACCTGTACCCAATCTAACTTAGTTCACCACCTCAGATGAACTAATTATGATCAAGCCATTCTTTTTTTTGCCCAGTTTAACCTCCCTGAATGTCTGCACAGATCCACACTTCGATTGATCTAACCCTAGTCAGGCTGCTTTAAATGTAATGTCTGCATGTACCCTAGGTGACCTGACACATAGTGGAATCCAGAATCCGAAGTTAAGCATTAGTGTCTCTAAGGGTTTGAGGAGCATTAGATGCCTCGGGATGGCATGAAGAATAAGTACACTAAGTAAGAAGCCAGCAAGAGAGTCACACTAAGCAGGGAGATGCCTAGACCCTATCTAGGTCAAATCCATATACTCAGCAGTATCACAAGGCTCTTTCCTATTTCTGGGATTCACAGTCCAAAGCCTCCACTTGAAGACAGATGCCAAAGCTTTTTCTTTCACATACTGGGCAAAGGTCAGTCTTTCCATTTATGACAGGAGGAACTGATGATGCCCTCCCTTTATAAGGGTGCAAACAAGCATTCACTGCATCCAGTCTAGGTGTAAGGGGAGGTTGGCAGGATCGGGCTGGGACAGGGGGGTGGGAGCAGAGCACAGCCTGTACAATCAGACATTCAGACTGACCTAACCCTGGTTACGCTGATCTACATATAATGCTCGTACATCTCCTAAGCAGTTAAAGCACATATCAGGAGTTGGGAGAACCTGGATGAATTCCATTTCTCTTCATGGGACACAACTTCAGTCTCAGGAAAATAACTTAGCTGCCATTCTGGAGCAAATGATGGCATGGCTTGGACCCTTCAGGCCTCCTGCTGAAGCTCTTCTACTTTTCATGCAATAGCTGGGCTAGACAGAGACCACCAAGGGAAGCATCTTTAGCCAAGGTATAGGGCCACTTACCTAGGTTGGGAGAGTCTTGTTTGGGTTCCAGGCCTTGCTCCAAAGGCTGTTTAAGCTTTTTCCCTAATGATGCAATGAATAAGAAACCTCTGGAGCAGGGATTGTAATGCAAGCCTCCTCTCTCCCAGGTGAGTGATCTGACAACTATATTACTGGTCTTTCTTGGTTTCTCTCTCTCTCTCAGACAATTCACTTGGAATCCTTTTCTGCACAGTGGAGTATCCTGCAAATCCTACCACTGCGTGCAAGTCAGTGGGTAGCACACCTTTTAGGGCAGTGGGGGATACAGGCTTGAATGCTCTCTGGTAAGGGAAGGAACCGCATCCGAGTCTCCCACAACATGGGTGATTGTAATAACCACTGAGCTACTGTGTAGCAAAATGGGAATCCTGTTGCTGGTTCCTCCTCTGATTGTCTTAAGCTGGCCATCACCACTATGCAGCCTGATTTCTTAGAAGCACCCTTATAATATGTAGCAATCAATGCCTGGCAAGAAAAGAATACCTAGTTTCTGGGTTCCCATAATGCTTAGAGAAGATACGGGAGCCAGGCTGCTCTGCCTTGTCAAGACAGATCGGACTAGGCCTCCTAGGACTTGGGTACCAATGTTCTGATTAAACCGCTTCTCAGGAATGTAGAATTACAGAAGCACAGAAAAGTAGGGCTGGGAGGGACCTTTGGAGGTCTAGTCCGAATTTCTGCCTGAGGCAGTATCACCCCTATCTAAACCATCTCACACAAACCCTGTCTAATCTATTACAAAAACTATCCCAACAATGCTGTTGCACAACCACCAAGCATAGCACCTTAACTTGCCGCAGGTAAAATAGGGGGGAAATGGCAGTCAGCATAGCCCTTTTCTGGATAGGATTCATAATCCTAATCACTTCCTCGTCTTCAGCTGAGCAAACTAACAGACCAAGATAAAGACATGCATCATATTTTACACATGTAATAACACAAGGTAGAAAATGAAGCTCTGTTTTGTGCTCATTGATTAACTGAAGGTTCTGATATAATCCATGCCTCTCTTCCCCTTGGCCAGATTGGTAATTAAGAGTAAGAGGGGGATACAATGTATTATTACAACTTAAGATCTAGTTTGCGTGTGCAATCAATCTAAAGGCAGAGCTATACAAATGAGCAGTCTGAGAGCTGCTCTGTAAGTAGACAAGGAAGTATTGTCTGGTACATGGTTTGACAAGTGTTTTGATCTCTATTGTTTTTGGAAAACTTTTCTTAGTTTAAATAAAAGTGAAGCATTTTTTTAAGGAAATCTAGGTTGCCGCTTTGTGATTCTTCAATACACAAAAAGCAATTACATCACACGCTGTGGAATGCTTCCTCTTTGGACACAGCAAATGCCATTTTCAATATTTATAAGAAACATGAACTTGAATAACTAAATGTGGGCACCAAGTATGCAAGTACCCAAAGCAATATACAGCTTGTTTTCAGTTTGAGAAAACTAGCAACCCCCTGCCACTGACCACCACAGGTCGACCATTAAAATGATGGATGCATTTAAGCAATATAGTTAGCCTGACCATACTCATTACTATAGTATCTGTATTTCTAGAAAAGGAGAATACTGGTCTCAAGAGCTGCAACTCCAGAGTTCAATTGCGTCCCACTCGCACTAAGTCTAAGAATGCCCCTGCCATCTTTACCTTCCCTTCTTCGCTGTTTCAAAATAATAATAATAACATTTAAAGAGGAACTAGTCCCACAAATGCTAAGAAAATGCCAGCAGATACCTAGTTTTGCCTATCTGTATGGCCTGCATTGTTGTAGTCTGATTAAACAAGCAATGGATCCACTTCTGTGATTTCTCAACTTCCAGGCAAGAGCAGGTAACGCAAACATCTAGCCACCTTTGCCTTCCGAGCCTGAATGGCCAAGTACCCGTTTACGCTGGATCATTTGGAGAAATTCAGCAGCCCAGAACAGAGCTCAATCTTATGCCCCTGGGGCCATAGGAAGATGCCTTAACCCCTCCAGCCCCCATACCTCGAGTGCATTCATCTGGATCACATCTACATCTTGCCAGGGAGGACAGGTGTTCTTCTTCGACTCCAGACCTACTATGACGATCTCCCTGGAAATATCTAGCTAAGCCTGAGTAACAATCAAAGACAAGAGGACTAGGCATGGACGTCATTTCCACCAAAGCAGGGTCTGAAGGTGAATGTACAGGCAGTCCTTGACTTAACGTTTCACACTTACAACGTTTCACACTTACAACCTTTATAAATTGACACCCTACTTCAACTTTATGACATCAGTTTTGACATTATAATGCTTGATCCAATGCGACGCCAGGCCAGGAAACAAGTTCTCCGTGTCACCCATCTCCCTGGAGAACGCCTGTCCAAACTTCCTCGGACACTTTCTTTAAGAAAGCAGACAGGACTCCAGGCAAACCTGCAGCCAGGACCCCTGAGAAGGCTCCAGCCAAGAGCCCTTCAAAAAGTCACCTCAAAGAAGTCCTTCCCAATCAATATGATTGCTATTTACAATATAAATACATTCATGTAGCTATATCACTCATCTATAATTGACGGAGTACAAAATTCTGGGTGTTTTTAGTGAAAAGAGGGTATCGGGCCTTCGTTCAGGAACCAATCCCCCCACTTACAGCGTTGTTTCTTGCGAGAAAATCGGTTCTGCGTTGCAACGTTTCGACTTACGACGCGGTTTTCAGGAACCGGTTGCGTCGCAAGCCCGAGGCCTGTCCCTGTACAG